GTTCAGCTACACTCCCCGAGAATGACAGGGAATCCTATGAAGAACTGTGGAGAAACAGCCCTCATGCAGGTATACCCTGGTGACCTCGAGCTGCCCAGTGTGGCTGGAATTCAGGGAAAGATGGAATGGAGACAGAGGGTTGGAGGTGACTGGAGAGAAAAGCAAGTGCCAAATCCCTTGGGGACCAGAAAGCCAATAATAGGGAATTTGCATTTCAATCTCAATACAAGGAAAGCCATGAAAGGATTTTTAGCAGGGGAGAGAAGTCATCAAGTTTACACTTTAACCTGATCACTCTCACCGCCCAGTGGATTGAAGAGAGAGAAGGTAAGAAGGTGGTCTTTGTCTTCACTTCATTGTCATTCACTCCCTCCTGCTGTCTCTTTCACCCGTGCATTGCTGACCACCAAAATCCCTGTGGCATTATACGCTACCCACAGGATAGCACTGCACCCCTGCAAATGTCTAATAATCCTTGTTCATTCAGCTCCCGAGTTCCTGCAACCTTTACCCCAGGGCCGTGAAGCCATCCAGACCCTCTTACTAGAGATCCTGCCACACAGACCTGTTGTTCCTTAGCTCACATCAGCCTCCTCTGGGAGGATAACCCCAATTCCCCATTATGACCATCTCCTTTGTCTCCCTACTGACCTCCTAGTTCAAACTCATGCCACCTTCTGTGTTCCTGGAACTAGATGTCATAGTGTGTTCTTTGCAAACACTTTTAATTCATGGGACTATAAAGTGCCTCATGTTGAAAGGAACCTTAGAGATATTCTGGTTTAACCTGCAGGTTTCCATGACAAAGAAACAGACCTGGCATGGTTAGAAGATTTTTCTGAGGTCTCCAAGGTTAGGAAGTAGCAAAGAGTAAACCCTGAGCCTCTGACTGGGCTGGAGTTTCTTGCATGATTTTAAAGCAATTTTTAAAAACACCATGGAGTGAGAGTGCTTCATGTTTTAGAAAACACTTCAATGCATGCCATCTCGTAGAATCATGGCAGCCCCCAAGTAATAGATATAAGTTGAAGCTGAGAAAGGTGGAGTGCTGAGAGAGCCACAAGCCAGGACTCAGACTCAGGTCTTATGGCTCTAAGTCCTGCAGAAACTACAAAAGCTTTCCTATTGTCCAAAGTGAGTTCTGGGCATCAAAATTAGAGGTTTCCTATTTCTGCTCATTATTGTTGGCTAACGATGCCTTTGTGTGTATTAGTTTTACATTCCTTTGAAGATCAGAATTTTTTTTACAGCCCTATCAAGCTCTATTTGCCCATATAATTATTGCTATTTTTCCTTTTTATTTATTTCTTAATTGCCACATAACTGTACATGTTTGTGGGGTATACAGTGATATTTAAATACACGTATTTAATTTGTAATGATCAATTCAGGGTAATTAGTATATTCATCACCTCAAACATTTATTATTTCTTTGTGTTGGAGATATTCAAAATCCTCTCTTCTAGCTGTTTTATTTATTTATTTATTGAGATGGAGTCTCACTCTGTCACCCAGGCTGGAGTGCAGTGGTGCGATCTTGGCTCACTTCCCTGCAACCTCTGCCTCCTGGTTTCAAGCAATTCTTGTGCATCAGCCTCCTGAGTAGCTGGGATTACAAGTGTCCACTACCACACCCGGCTAATTTTTTTCTATTTTTAGTAGAGACTGCGTTTTACCATGTTGGCCAGGCTGGTCTTGAACTCCTGACCTCAAGTGATCCACCCACCTCTGCCCCCCACAAAGTGTTGAGATTAAAGGTGTGAGCCACTGCACACAGCCCCTTCTAGCTATTTTAAAATATGCAATAAGTTAATGTTAACCATGGTGATCCTACAGTGCTGATAGAACACTGCAACTCATTCCTCCTGTTTAACCGTTGTTTTGGGTTTTTTAAATTTACTTATTTTTTTAAAAATAGAAACAGGGTTTTGCCATCTTGCCCAAGCTGATCTCAAACTCCTGGGCTCAAGTAATCCTCCTGCCTCAGCATCCCAAAGAGCAGAGAATACAGGCATGTGCCACCACATCCAGCCTGATGATTTTGTAATTGTTAACCCACTGCTCTCCCTCTCCCCTCTTCCCCACTCCCCTTCCCAGCCTCTAGCAATGACTATTTTACCCTCTACTACTATGAGATCAACTTTTTAAGCTTCCACATATATGTAAAAACATGTGGTATTTGTCTTTCTGTGCCTGGTTTATTTCCCTTATAACATCCTCCAGGCTTATCCATGTTGCCATGAATTACAGGATTTTGTTCTTTTCCATGGCTAAATAGTATTCCATTATATGTATCTCTCTCACATTTTATTATCCATTCATCTGGTGATGACACTTCTGTTGATTCCATATCTTCACTACTGTGAATAGTGAACATGAACTGCCATGAACATGTGGGTATGGGTATCTTAAGATCAGATATTTTATTTATTTTATTTTTATTTTTATTTTTGAGATGGAGTTTTGCTGTTGTTACCCAGGCTGGAGTGCAATGGCACCATCTCGGCTCACTGCAACCTCCACCTCCTGGGTTCAAGCAGTTCTCCTGCCTCAGCCTCCCGAGTAGCTGGGACTACAGGCGCACACCACCATGCCCAGCTAATTTTCGTATTTTTAGTAGAGACGGGGTTTCATCTTGTTGACCAGGATGGTCTCGATCTCTTGACCTCGTGATTCACCGGCCTCGGCCTCCCAAAGTGCTGGGATTATAGGTGTGAGCCAACGCGCCCAGCCTAAGATCAGATTTTTTAATGTAGTCAAGGAAGAACTTTGTCCAATACTGGAAGTTGATTGGAATGAGGGTAAGGGCTTTTGAGCAGGAGAGAAACTTAAAGAACAAATACAATGAAGAAAAGAGATGCCCCGGGGGCTGTGGTTCACACCTGTAATCCCAGAACTTTGGAAGGCCAAGTTGGAAAGATTGCATAAACCCAGGAATTCAAGACCAGTCTGGACAACATAGTGATCACCATATCTACAAAAAAAAAAAAATTAGCCAAACATGGTGGCATGCAACCGTAGTCTCAACTATTTGGGAGGCTGAGGCAGGAGGATTGCTTCAGCCCAAGGGGTTGAGACTGCAGTAAGCCATGATTGCAGTGCCACTACCTTACAGCCTGACTGACAGAACAAGACTATATCAGAGAAAAAGAGAAAAAAGGGAGAGGAAGGGAGGTGGGAGGGGAGGCGAGGGAAGGGAAGGGAGAAGGAAAAAGGAAGGAAGGGAGGGAGAGAGGGAGGGAGGGAGGGAGGGAGAAAAGGAAGGAAGGAAGGGAGAAAGAAAGAAAGAAAAAAGAAAAGAAAGAAAGACGCTGGGTGCAGTGGCTCATGCCTGTAATCCTAGCCCTTTGGGAGGCTGAGGTGGGTGGATCACCTGAGGTCAGGAGTTCAAGACCAGCCTGGCCATCATGGTGAAACCCCATCTTTAAAAAAAAAAAAGAAAAGAAAGAAAAAGAGAGAGAAAGAGAGAGGGAGGGAGGGAGGAAGGAAGGAGGGAGAGAGGGAGGAAGGGGAAGAAAAAAAGGAAGGAAAGAAGGAAGGGAGGGAGGGAAGTAAAGGAAAGGAAAAAAGGAAGGAAGTGAGGGAAGGAAAAGAAGACAGGAAGGAAGGAAGGACAGTAGGAAGGGATGGAGGGAGGGAGGGAGGGAGGGAGGAAGGAAAAAAGAGAAAGAAAGAAGAAATTTTACCAAGTTTTTGATTTGGGCTAAGGTCAGATGTGGACGTAGATCTAACACCATTATGGCAACTACCATTATGAAGAAATGCGCTTTAAAACTGATTTTCTTATTTTAAGTACAAGTTACCACAGCACAATTTCACCATAGCAGAAGAATGTAGATGGTCTCATGGATTCATTATTAAAATATTTGAAGTATATACAAATCGGATTCTTTGAATTATTTTTTCCAGCTCATTTGAGGTTTAGAGTTTCAAATCCAATGTCAAAAATATTCTTAGTGACCAAAAAAAAAAAAAAAAAAGTCCTTCTCAGTTGCTTTGCAGGATGTGGAAGAGATTACTGCTTCAGAGGAAATATATTTTGGAATGCATTGCATCCTGATGCTACAATTAGTTCTATTCTTGTTCTGAAAATGGAAAGGGGTCAGGGGCTCTGCATAACTGACACTTAGCAGCAGCGGCAGATGCAAGCTGGCAGCCAGCTCAGCCAGGAGCAGTGGCTCGCTTTTGCCATCAGAACCAACATAGACAAGTTAACAGAACACTTATGCAAGAATTATTATTTCCTTGTTCCTTTATTTGCTTCTACTTTGATGAGCTCAAACTTTTCCCCCCAAATATCAGAACTGTTATTGTCAACACTCCCTTAGGGCATGCTAGGTAAAGTTACTTAAAGGAGTTGTAAAACCTCCCAAGTATGAATGAAAAATACCTGCACTTACCTCAAATGCTAAGTACTGTAAGAATATAGTTCATTCCCTTTGTGAGTAGTTGCTGAACTAAGAGTAATCTTACAGGTCTATTAACTAAAAGCCCAGAATAATGTAATTATTGGGATTTTCTTAATATTATTCACTGAACCTGAATAATAATCTGAGAAATAATAATCAAGCAAACAACACTACTTGCTTTTAGAAGGCTAAAAACAAATGTCTAAAGTAGCAAGTGTTCTGCTGAAAATAATCATGCAAAATGCACACATCTTGCATGCCGTCAAATCTGACCATCTTTCAGGACATCCTCCGTTACTGCATTCCACTCCATTCACACTCCTTGGCAATGAAGGCACCCAAGTTGTGACACGCAGATTCTGGTTTAGCTCAGTTGAGGGCTGTGTAGTGCGGTAGCATAGATGAGTCAGCCAAATACCTCACCCACATACCTCTCATACCTATCCAGAGCCCCCAAGACTGTAATTCCCAAATATACAGAAAGCTTACAGCACATTACCTTGGCCTTGGGGGTTTGTGCATTCTTCAGAGTCAACTGAAATCTGGAGACACGGAATCATCTTCTCTAACACTGCGCTATACTACACTAGCATGCTCGCTTCAGCACATATACTAAAATTGGAACAATGCAGAGAAGATTAGCACAGTCCCTGCACAAGGATGACAGGCAAATCCGTGAAGTGTTCCATATTTTCAAAGATCATATGTTCTCATTCATAAATGGGAGCTAAGCTATGAGGATGCAAAGGCATGAGAATGATACAATAGAATTTGGGGACACAGGGGAAAGGGTGGGAGGGGGGTGAGGGATAAAAGGCTACAAATTGGGTTCAGTTTATACCGTTTGGGTGATGGGTGCACCAAAATCTCACAAATCACGACTAAAGAACTTACACATGTGACCAAATGCCACCTGTTCTCCAAAAACCTATGGAAATAAGTAATTTATATATATACACACCAGCCAATAATTAAGAGCAGGGAGGATTGCTAGTCTAAGATGTTAAGATTATATCTCTAAGATCACCGTTTCCAGCTTTTTAAGGCACTGAATGGTGCTTTTGAACATAGGATTTTTAATAAGAATTCCTGTGACTGAGTAATGTTTGTATTCATGTTAGGTTATTCTTGTTTCTTTGGGTAAGAACACTAAAACTGTCTCTGCATTTAAGATTCTGACTGGGCATGGCAGCTCACACCAGTTATCTCAGAGCTTTGGGAGGCCAGGGCAGGAGGCTCACTTGAGGCCAGGAGTTTGATAGCAGCCTGGGCGGCATGGTAAAAACCTCATCTCTACAAAAAAAATGCAAAAAAAAAAGTTGGCCTGATGTAGTGACAAGCACCTGAAGTCTCAACTACCTAGAAAGATGAAGCAGGAGGATCCCTTGAGCCCAGGATTTCAAGGCTCAAGGTACATGCTGCCACACCCAGTAAGGCTACTGTGTCTCAGGACTACTGTGAGCTATGATGGCACCACTACACTTCAGCCTGGGTGACAGGGCAAGAATCTGTCTCTTATAGGGGCGGTGGGCAGGGGGATTAGATTCAGATGAAGCAAAAAATGAAAATAATGTTTTTGGAATGCAAAATAAGCCAGGGGCAGTGGCTCACGCCTATAATTACAGCACTTTGGGGGGCCAAGATGGGTGGATCACCTGAGGTCAGGAGTTCAAGAACAGCCTGGCCAACATGGTGAAACTCTGTCTCTACTAAAAATACAAAAAATTAGCCAGGCATGGTGGTGGGCGCCTGTAATCCCAGCTGAGGCAGGAGAATTGGTTGAACCTCAGAGGCAGAGGTTGCAGTGAGCCAAGATTGGACCACTGCACTCCAGCCTGGGCAACAAGAATGAGACTATCAAACTAACAAACAAACAAACAAAGGAATGAAAAACAAGTAACACCAGTCAAAATGGCACCCTCTGCCTTCTTAAAAATTGAATTTTATATAAAGAGCATTTTATTTTCCATTGAATTAAAACAAGATATAGGAGCTCAGTATAATTAATAGGTTTATATTTTCAGGCAGTTTCTGATTCTGTGAAAAGTATACTTTACATCCAAGAGTAATCATTATGAGCAACTTTCTTCAACATCTAATATCTCTCATAAAGAGTAACATGCTACAACACTAACTCTAATAGTGAACCAAAGTACAAAAAATTAGTAAGTAAAAAATTAACAATCCATAAGAGTGTCTACATAAAAGCAAATAACTGGACTGGCTTTCATAGATCATCTAGTCCCTTTACCAATTTGTTAACAATGAAATTAATATAATTAAGATGGGCACCTTTAGGCCAGGGGCTGTGGCTCTGTGGCTCTTCGCCAGCTTACTTTTGGTTCTAAGAAGACAGAAGTCAAAAAGCCAGAGCAAGAAACCAGTGATACCACTTTTACCATTAGGACACGTGGCAATTGATCCTAAAGATTTTGTCACTTGAGTCTTCTAGCCAAAATTGACTTGCAAACAAAACATTCTGAAATATTTGATAGCTGAACCTTTAAATGCAGCCATTTTTGCACTTCCATCAAAAAGAGAGGCTGTCCAGGCACCATGCCTCACAGCTGTAATCCCAGCACTTTGGGAGGCTGAGGCACTGGTGGATTGCTTGAGTCCAGGAGTTTGAGACCAGCCTGGACAACATGGCAAAAACTCATCTCTACAAAAACATTTACTGGGCATGGCAGCATGCACCTGTAGTCCCAGCTACTCGGGAGGCTGAGGAGGAAGGATTACATGAGCTTGGGAGGTCAAAACTTCAATGAGCCATGATGCTGCCACTGCACTCCAGCCTGGGTGACAGAGTAAGACTCTGTATCAAAGGAAACAAAAAGAGAGAGGCTAATGTTGAGCCTGTCAGTATTTTTCCAAAGTCTTAGAGCTCAGGAAGACTAAGGTAAATTTAGATAAAGTTGAAAAATCTCATCCACATCTCTATAAGAAATGTCGGTGAGACTCAAAAAGCAAGTTAAACGAAACAGGCACAGATCCACATACATCTTTGGGAAACATTTTCTGAATACTAAAAAGAAACAATTCTTAAATGCAAGAAAAATACATTGAAATATCAGAAAAACCTGGAAAGCACATTTTTTTAAAATCATGGTTAGTACTCACAGAAGAAATAGGACCTGAAAGAACAAAAGATCATGTCTCAGGGCAGTCCAAGTTTCACATGAATTGAAGCATCAGTTACTCTTTAAATTATTATACCAAGATACCTTTAGACCTAGTCCTTCTATTTTAAAATTGTGCTTAAGATTCCTAACCCGAAATAGCTAGCAGCATGTTACTTTGGTTTCCTGGAATTACAGATTAACAGAGCTAGAGAGATACTCAAGATGATTTGTTTCAATACCCGTTTATAGGTAAATGAGTGTCCTGAGACCCAGAGAGATTAAAGGTCATGCAGTGGCAAGATGAAAACAAGGACCCAGATTCCTTGACTCTTAGTTTAAACTGCTGAATGCTGGTTGTAATTTAAATTTTGAGATTGATTCCAACAGTAATTCCATGCATAGTTTACTAACACAGGAGATTAAAAAAAATCAGAAGTGGAGAATAAAGATAATAGTATAGAAATACTCCTCAAAAAAAAAAAAACCCTCAATAAGCAAAAACTGTTTTTATCACTTTTTTTTGCCCTAAATTGCCAAACGTGTTGCCTAAAATCTTCATTTCCCTTTAATGCCACAGCCTAAATTAGAAGCACTGTCTTCCTTTTAAGAAAACACCTTTTACAGGTTTGCCATCTCAAGTTACAAATGACCCCAAAATCACAGTGGCTTAAAACAGCAAGGGCTTTCTCACTCATGCCAAACGTCCATCCCGGTTCAACAGGGATGCTTCCGCAAGGCAACATTCAGAGACAGATCCCCAGAAAGCTTCATGGATTAAGAACCCCTACTCAATATACGTTAATTACTTTGATTTAGCCATCCCACAATACATACATATATCAAAATGTCATGTTACACACCATAGCTACACATAAATCATTGGTCAAACGAGTAACAACATCCCATCCCACCACATGGGGATCAGTAAATGCAATACTAGAAAGCTGAACCTGGGCGTAGGGAATCATGCCTGAAATCCCAGTGATTTGGGAGGCTGACTCCGGAAGATCCCTTGAGGCCAGGATTTCGAGATTATCCCAGGCAACACAGCAAGAACCCTGTCTCTACAAAAATGTAAAAATTAGCCAGGCATGGCTTGAGCCCCAGAGTTCAAGGCTGCTGTGAGCTATGATTGCTCCACCACACTCCAGCCTGGGCAACAGAGTGAGACCCCAACCCTAAAAAACAAAACAAAACATAAAACAAGAAGACCAGAAGCCAGAACACATTTGGAGAACAGCGTAACTGCCACACCCTGTGTGTCTGAAACATAAGAAACTGAATACTGACTCCTTCTGATTGAAAACACAACAGTTTATGAGGTACTTAATTTTAAAATCATAAGCCAAAAGAAGCTAAAGAAAATGTCACCAAGAATCAAGAACCTCCTGCAATACCCTTTGTTGAACCACCAGCTAACTAACGACACTAGTAGGTCACATCAGCTTCCTTATTTGTAAAATATGTAACAGGTGAGACAAGATAATTTCTGAGGTCCCATCAGGCCTTACAAGACCTACAATCCTAACTTACATGAATTTAAGAAGGACCCTTTACTGCATTAGTGATACTAAAATCAAAATATTTTCTCTTAAAAATACAACAAATAAGCCAGGTGCAGTGGCTCATGCCTGTAATCCCAGCATTTTGGGAGGCCGAGGTGGGGGGATCACCTGAGGTCTGGAGTTCGAGACCAACCTGGCCTACATGGTGAAACTCTGTCTCTACTAAAATACCAAAAATTAGCCAGGAGTGGTGGCAGATGCCTGTAATCCCAGCTACTAGGGAGGCTGAGGCAGGAGAATCTCTTGAACCTGGGAGGCAGAGGTGCAGTGAGCTGAGATTGCATCATTACACTTCACCTTGGCAACAGAGCAAGACTCGGGTCTCAAAAAAAAAAAAATTCTTAATTTCAAAAAACCATGCAAAAGTTATTTCTTGGTTGGCATTTGTTTTGCTTCGTTTCTTTGTTTTATTGTGCTTTCTTAATAGTCACAGAAGCAGAAAATCTCACTTTGTTCAAGGAATTATAGCATGTTGTTTGCATAGGGCTTGTGTCAAAGAACCTTACAGCAAAGTCTAGGAGAGTTTTTCTAGCCAAAGCAAAATTTCTGTTCATTCTAGACCTGACTATGTTTCACCATGTTTTGATACACAATCTTTTTGTTATTTATTTTTCTATGCCTGCATTTGTCCCTTTTCCTATAGGGTTGAGAGAATTCTAAATTCTACAAAGCAATAACATAGCATTATACTTTTTCCTTATAGGAATCAGCTCATACACTTTATGTGAATTAAAGTCACTCTGTCCAACCATTTGATGTGATATGGGCACTCTTATCTATTCCTGATCATTAAGCTCATCTTGAAATAAAAAGAACATTTGGTTTACCATAACACGTAAATACTATAAGCTCCTGTCTGATAAAGAAAAATATGAAATTAGAAATATCACTTCCTAATCCGTTCTAAACAAAGGTAGACTGTGAAGCAACTCACTTGAAGCCAAGACACTCTATTTAGATCCTATGTTAGTAAACAGCTTGATCTGGGCTGGACATGGTGGGTCAGTC